ATCTTCTTTAAAACGTCCTTTTTTGATCTAGAGTTAGTCCCAACATCCTCAACTTGGGGGTGGGTGGGACTTTTAAGCTCCGACTGGAGGCCCTGTACCTACTCTACTGTAAAAAATAAGAAAGAAAAGACATTGTTGCTGGACCCAGATTAAAAGTCAGAGAAAGATTTGCAAGGCTGGATTGACTCCACCACCGAGGCTGACCGTTGGGTCCTCCTGGACCAGAAGAGGTATAGGAGCTCTTTCTGCTCTGTCGGAACGTCACCTGAGCAACGAGGTCCAATGTGTTCTGGTTCTCCGGCTATTCTTTGGCCCGGAGTTCTGGTTGGTGTTTTCCCCCTCCCTTGCAGCTTGCCCTGCAGCCCTGGCTGCTTCCCCATCTCCATAGATCCAGCCAGGTGCTCTTATTTATTTTACTTGTTTATCCAGAGTTCCTTTCCTGCCCCTATTCCAAGGGCTGTGTCTCTTTTTTATCCACATTCCTGGGAGGAGGCTGTGGTTGAGAAAGATTTCCCCTTGGCCACCCAGAGAGTTCTGTGACTGCAACCAAGATACTGTGCAAATGTCTGCAGACAATCATTCTTCTTCAAGACTGCCCATTAACGCAACAAGCGTAGATGAAACAGCCAATCGTTCGGTGGCCATGATAAGCCGGAATTCCAGAGCAGCCCAGCTTTGCTCATAGGCTGTTTGTTGGTGGCTCCTCCCACCAGCTAAAACAACTAAATACAACTAAACCAGACAGGCCCACAAGTCAAATCTGGCTCTCCAGGGGTCCCAATCCAGCCCTCCAGGGTCTCAGAGAAAGCCACTTTCCCTTCCCCTGTGCCATCCTTTTCACTCAACCACTGATTGGTTGGTGGTTTCCCAGGTTTGGGGAAGTTTTTCCCCACCCTAAAAGGTTGAGATGCCGCCTGAAGCCACAGTGACCAGCAGTGTGCATTCTAAACCAGGATCTGGGGCATTTTGGCCCATCTATTTTGCTGTTAGGCTGATCCCACGGCACCTTATCCTCCCAATCAGTGAAATGCAGCATCCAAGGGCTTCTTCAAAGTTGAATCCATCTCTTAAGCCAAAACAAATTCAACACCCCTGAGCTAAAGTGACCAGAAACTAACTAAAAAGCAAAGGCTGTCATTACATTCAGCTCAGAGCTCCGTGTTGTCTCTCCTCTACCAAACCAGGATCTGAAGCCAGGGTTTGTATTTTTCCAATTCCTGACTTGATTAGGACAGACAAAATGTGAGTTCTATTTCAGAAGTAACACTATGCCTTCTGTGTAGGCTCTAGTTAATTTAGCTGCTTCTGCTGCCATGAGTACACTGCTCACGAACAAAACGCCAGGATCTCCCAAATGCTGGCTTACTATTACATGCAAACATGGTTACTAACAACCCTAACCATTTTGGAAGGCAAGTGCTATCCATCTTTTCCTTCTCCACTCAGTGCATATTCAATGGATTCAGTGTATGTGTTTCTGAACTTGGCTTGCTAATACTCTAAAGATTTATTTTTTTATTTGTAACTTCTAGAACTCCTTCTCCGGGATTCTAGAGAGTTAACAAAACATACAGTGCTAAAATAATCCCCAAAATCAGGAGGTGAGAACTCCCATAAAATTATGGTTGCCAGTGAATTCTCCACAAAGACTGCCAGAGATGCTTCTTCTGTGCACCTGCCCCTCACCTTGGCCCAGTGGTGTCAGGAAGGAAGGGCATTGCCTCCTTGCTCACGGGCTCTCTGCCTTTTACGGAACTATGAGCAACTGTGTGGAGAAGGACAAGGAGGAACAAGAGCAGCCAAGGACAATACTGGTTAGATGGTGCGCGGAAGGTGTCCTGCCCAGGGGCCATTAAAAGCCAGAGCAACTGACTGCTCCCCATGATTTCGTGTTCTTTCTGAGGCTATGCAGAGCAGGGAAGCGGTATGCTTCTGGGCTGAAAGTGTAGCCTCCCTGAACGCCAAGAAGAAAGGCTCACAATCCGGCGGCATCTTCATTCCATGGGAGGCACAGACAAAATTAGCAAGGATCTCTGCAGGAGGCTGGCTGCAGCTGGTATGGAAGGGGCCTCATTTAAGCATCTGGGTCAGAGTTCAGCTGGGGTTTGCTAAACTAGGATCAGAATCAAAGTGTCAAGCCTGCGTGTTTTTGCAGAGCCAGCAAATGCAAAAGCACACGATATACCATAACTTGCTAACAGCACTTGCATTCTCAAAGTGCATTTCATCATATTAATGGGTAAGATGGCCATTTACCAAAAAAGAAGACATCAATTAGTGTAAAATGTGCAGATGCTAATAGACATACATGCATGCAAATGTAGAAAGACTGTTTCTAATTTAAATAGAAAGCACAGAAACATAGAAACAAAGCGAGTCAGAAGGGACCTCCTGAGCCATCTAGTCTGACCCCCGGCTCCAGCCAGTTCCACTCCTGCAATCTCCAACAATGTGGTATCCCCATACTGGAGAATATTGTGATCCAGTTGACTAACTATTTGAAGGTGGACAACTTCAAGGTCGCTGCTTTCCCACTGATTTATTTTTGTATATTTCCTTTCCATACTGTTCAGTAGCTAAAGCTCTCTGGAAGGTTCACAACAATAACAAAACAACCACATAGTAAAAAAAAAAAAAAGTCCACATTCAACATTTAAAAACAATGAAGAACTGCTAAAATAAACCCCCAGTTGCAACCATATATTGGGTTCTTTAAACTGGATTTGGGCTGCACAACTCTTAAAATAGAGCAGTCTCCTCCAACCTGGTGCTCTCCAGACATCTTGGACTTGTCCCAGTGCTGGGATCTGTGTCCAAAACATATGGAGACAACCATGCTGGGGAAGAAGGAACTAGAGGATGCCTTCAGACGTGAAAATGTTCTCAGCAAAGTCAGACACACGGCCAGCCTACTAATGGTTCCCATGTGATAATTACTCAGGGGTTTAGGCTATGTCCTGCATATGACATTTTTCCTGCATGCATGTTTAATACAGTCCTTCAAAGAAGAGTGCAAAACTTTCTGCCTTGTGGGTTTATTAGCCTGCCCTCTCCATTTATTAGTCATCTGCAGCACATCTCTGGCCTCAAAAAAGAACAACCTTTTCCTACCCAGTTTACAAAGCAGGCATGTTTGGCTGCCTTGGGGAACTATTTGTCACAGGTGCAGAGTCAAGGACCTACATACTTGTCTTATGTGCAGTTGTCATCTTTGGAAGTAACCAAGACTAGCCTGTACTCTGTAGATCTATCCTTTGGCCGTTCCTTGAAGCTTAAGAACAGAGCTCTTCATTTGAGTTTAAGTTGCATCTTGCATGATCAAGAGTCCATCTGAGTTTTTGCTTCTCTGCTGCTAGAAGATAAGAAAAGCTGTGCCATTGGTCACTCTAGTCCAGTATTTGGTTTGCACAGTGGTCAATCAACTTCCTGGGGAAAACCCACAAGCAGGATGTGAATGCAACAGCGCCCTCCTGCTTGTGTTCTCTAGCAACTGGTGTACCTAGGCATGCAGTCCATGATAGTGAAGGCACTGTGTAGCCACGAGGACTAGTAGCCTTAATAGTTGTATGCTCCATGAATTGGTCTTTTGAGGTTATCCAAACTAGCCAGTGTTGTCACCAGCTGCAGCTCCTCGTCTTCCCCTCTTTCTCAACATGGCAGTAATGTGGTGTCCTACAACACAGGGGACAATCATCTCAGTGGGACGGTGGAACTTACTCTCCTGCAAGAACAGGAGGTTGGACCCGATGGCCTTCTGGCCCCTTCCAACTCGGCTATTCTATGATTCTGTGGCACAGCTAGTGCCAGTGGAAGAAGGCTAGGTAGAAGGGAGCAAAGACCAGGCCACAGCCCATCTGATGGTGGCTGCTGTGAGTACAATGGTCTACCATAGAATAGACTGGCAAAGATAATGCTCCCACCCACAGCGGCAACTCAAACTGGCCAAAAAGCCAAAGCTGACTCTCCCAGGTTCCCAGTCCAGCCCCCACAGAATTCCAGAGAAAGCCTGCACTGGCAGTCGGCCTGTGGACAATGACCTCCCGAAACTGCTTCTGCATGTCGCCATTGCAATCACTTTGCTCAGCTGTCCAGTTCGTGGTGGCAGTAAGGAAGGGACAGGTGCCCTGGCCCCCTTGCTCACTCACTGTTTGATCGTCAAACAAGCTCGTGGCTGCCATGTTGAGAAAGAGGAGGGGGAGACGAGGAGCTGCAGCTGGTGACAACACTGGCTAGAGGGACAACTCACTTGGGACCCATTAAGTGAGTCTTGCCCGAGGGCCAGCAAAAGCTTTGAGCCAGCCCTGCTCTCCTACCAACTTCGACAGGGCACCTCTCTGCGGAGTCGCTTCATATCTTCAGCCGCCAGCCAGTCCTCAAGCGCAAAGAAATCAAGACACATACAAACATGTCTAAACCAGGTCAAAGGGTTTATCACTCACACAAAGTGCTGTTGGTCAAATTTGTGTTTGTCCAGTTCATGCACTACCTTTGGCCATCTGGTGTTGCTCTACAATTTGGACTTTGGAATAATCTAATAAATGTAAAGTGAAGGATTTATCCTTCCCATGAAAATTGCTCCATAACCTACCATTGTTAGGTCTTTCCCACTGTTTTCATGGAAATGCCAACATTTTAAAGTAATATGGAGCTTCAGTATGTAGCCCTCACCATCCCAACCCAACCAAATGTAAGAAACAGTAACTAAAACAGGATGAACGCACAAAACAAGAAGCTTCTAGAAGTTTCAGACTGTTTACAAGCTTCTCGAATTACTGGTTTGTTTCAGAGCCCCATCGTGGTTTCCAGCCAGGGCTTTTGTAAGTGCCCCATCCGTCATCTGCGCATCTATTTTCGTAAGTAAACACTTGCCGGAAAAACATGCCTTGAGCATGCTCCGTAGTGCGCTGTTCTGCAACGAACTGCAGAGTCACATGGGACAACACTGAAAAGTACATGGGTGACTATTCTTAGTTTAGGAATGTATACAGTGCCTCGTCCTGCTACCTCATTAACCAAACTCCAGAGATCAGTGTGACAGTACCTTGATACTAAACAAACCCAGAAATCTCCCCTCAACGAGTATTTTGCCAGCAAAAGAACAATCTCGAGAAGTTTAATGGCTTAAAAAAAATAGCATTCATATTCATGATCTAGCCATCGAACGTTTCAGCAGAGAATAAACAAGCCAAAGCGACTGAAGGCAGGGAAAGAATAATAAGGTAAACAGATCTGCCACAATTTCACTACAAATGTGAGCCTTTAGAACTGGAAGATCATTTTGCTTGACACGTGTGGGTGTTTTTAGCCACTGCATTTAAACTATGTAGGCTGTAATACAAAGTTTATATATTTGGGTTTTGACTGATGGAGCCGGGCGGGTGGCTGCAAAGCTAGCTTGCAGCTGTCCTTCTCTCCCAAGAGTAGCAGAGACTTTAAATTAACTTTTCCTTGCCCCACGCCACAATAAAATCTAACAGCGTTACCGCTTTTCTTTTTTCTTTTCTTTTCTTTTCTTTTCTTTTCTTTTCTTTTCTTTTCTTTTCTTTTCTAGATAAAGCATTGGATCCATTTTATGAAGAATGTGCTGGCTGCATATGAGAATGGGGTGCTGCAGAGCCAGGGGAAACGTTCTAGCAGACTTTGACACGGAGTAAAGAATAAGAAATCTGCAGCTCTTGTTCCTGGTTGATATGAAAGCAAAAGCAATTCTGAGTAAATAAATATATCATTTTTCCTACAGATTCCTAGACCCAAGGACTTGAGTTTGTCATGTTGCTCTGCCAGAGTTGCATTCTTTGGGAATGACTAAGCGGGGTAGTAGGGAGAAGAGGGAGGTGATTGAGATGGAAGATACAGAATTGTAAATGCTCCAATGGAATGAAAGGCTAGCATGCATGAATTGCAGATATGTATCCCAAACAAAATGTTTGCTCTGGGTTTGACCATTAATCACCACAATCACTTTGCAGCCCATGCTCTCACATATTTTTAAATTCTATCCCTTTTATGAAGCGGGCTGCCGAAACTGGGTAACTCCAGAATGGCTTATTTGACAGAAGATTTGTTGTATGCCTTTTCCTTCATCTAGTTGCCCTTTTATTGGTATGTGTAGTTAGTCTTCTCATTTCGACACTAGACAGACAATATTTATAGGGGCCACTGTATTGTGATCTTTCACATCAAATGTTTTCAGGAAACAGCACAGAGAATTCGTGCTCGCCTGCTGTTGATCTCTTTCTGGTTCCACTATGGAAGAGAAATCCCCCAAAGAGCTCCTCTTCAGGGACCAGGATTTCTCCTCTGAGTTGCTAAAGCAGCTGAACATTTTGCGGCAAAACAGAATCCTTACCGACGTCGTTCTGTGCACAAGTGACACTGAAATTCCTTGCCATAGGAATGTTCTTGCTTCAAGCAGCCCCTATTTCAAGGCAATGTTTTGCAATAACTTCAAAGAGAGTGGTCAAGAAAAAGTCAACCTCAAAGGCATTGACTCAGGCGTTCTCCACTGTATTATCATGTATGTCTACACAGGAGAGATTCTTGTGACAGCGGAGAATGTTTTGTATCTCATGGAGACAGCTTCCATGCTCCAGTACACAAAACTATTTGAGGCCTGTTCGGCCTACCTCCAGGACCAACTGACACCAGACAACTGCCTCAGCCTCATCAGGCTCTCAGAAATCTTGTACTGTGAGACTCTCAACAAGAAAGCCAAAGCAATGGCCCTGCAATGTTTCCCTGAAGTAGCCACATCAGAGGACCTAAAAGAACTTTGTGCCTTGGAATTGATAGACTATCTTGGAGATGATGAGCTCTGTGGAGAGGAAGAACAGGTTTTTGAGGCTCTCATGGTTTGGGTGAGGCATGACCTACAGGAACGTCAAGGTTATATCCAAGATTTGTTCAAGAAAGTAAGGCTTCAGTACGTTCATCCAACGTTTTTCTTCCACTTCATTGCCAATGACTCTCTCATTCAGTCATCCCCTGCTTGTAGACGCATCTTGGAGCTGGCCAATAGGCAGATGTTTTCTTTGTACAGCATCAGTGCTCCTGATGCTAAACCTATGTGGCATGTTCCTCGGAGATACTCATACCGAGAATTCCTTCTCTTGATTGGTGGCCGCAAAGACAACCAACAGACAACGAGGGACGTCTTGCTGTATGATGAGAAGACAAGGCACTGGCTGAGTCTGGCCAAACACCCAACACGTCTCTACAAGGCCTCCGCAGTGAGCTTGTACAGCAACATTTATCTCCTTGGAGGCATTCCCATAGGGAATGGGAACAATCACGTCAGCAGCAATGTTTACATTTTCTCTCTCAAACTTAACCAGTGGAGGCTGATAGAACCCATGCTAGTTGCACGATATTCCCATAGGAGCACTGCCTATAAAAACTATATCTTTGCCATTGGGGGTATTGGAGATAACCAGGAAATCTTAAATTCCATGGAAAGATACGACAGCATCTACAATGTTTGGGAGCAAATGACAAATATGCCTGTTGCTGTTCTTTACCCTGCTGTGTCCGCCAAAGACCAAAGGATCTATCTCTTTGGAGGGGAAGACATGATGCAAAACCCGGTCCGACTCATACAGGTACCTCCCCGACCTCCCCATCTCGGGTGAACTTGGCCAGTTGCATCATTCCAGCCTTGACAGACTATTGGCACTGAGCACAATCAGCTGCTTCTGCCATCTCCAAAGTGAATGTGTCAAGATTCAGTGGGCAATATAGAAGTCTGCCTTTATATCGTAGGGGTGTTTGACTTCTAGCACACAGGTAAATCCAGCCCACCTGAAATCCCATTCCAGCCCTCTGGGGATGGCCAGATGGCCTTACCTTTTCCTCCCAACTTCCCATGATTGGTGCTTCCCCAACTTTTGAAAAAGTTGAAATGGCTCTCCTACAACTTAGCTACCAACACCAAGAGCTTTAAGCTAAAATATGCTGCCATTCATGGTGGGTTTTTGCCTGCCTGCCTAGTGGTGTTCACATAGGTTCTGCCATTTCATCTGTCCCAAAGGGTCCAAATTTTTGACATCAAAAGTGGGCAAACAGAAATACACATTGGAATATAGCAAGCAATCCAGGGTATCTTTGCTTTCAAACAGGAGTGCTCCAGTTCTGGGCTCCAGCCAGCCTGGAACAGGAGTCTTTCAAGCTCAGGAGGTAGGGAAAGGAAAAATAATATTTTGTTTCCTTTCTCACATTCCTGAAAGCTACCCTTCCTGTGCTATTCAGCAATTAACTGCTCAGGTTTGAGGCTGGCCTAAATCCATTCATGTACATGGTTCTTCTTAGCTCAGCTTTCCCCAACCAGATGCTCTGCAGATGTGTTAGACTGCAATATCCAACATGCCTAGCCAGCATGGGCACTGGTGGTGATGATGGGGGTTGTAATACAGCACATCTGAAGGTTGCCTTTGTCTGTGGTCCAGGAGAGGGTTGAAATAGCTATAGGGATGCAAATATGTCATTCTTCACTGTACCTCAAATCTAGGCATCTATTTCACATCTCCTGTACTTCACAGGTATATCATGTGACTAGGAATATGTGGTTCCGAATGGAAACCAGAATGGTCAAGAATGTTTGTGCGCCAGCAGTTGTGATTGGAGACCGGATTTTCATCGTTGGAGGTAATGGTTATTCAGGTGTTCTCAAGTGAGTTCCAGAACTGAAATGCTCAGGGTTAAAATTCGTAGAATCATAGAACAGTAGATTTGGAGGGGGCCATCAGGTCCAACCCCTTGCTGTTGCAGGACACCACGTTATGTCACCCCACTCAGATGGCTCTCCAGACTATTGTCATTGTCATTCCTTTCTGCAACTATGGCTGCATAAAGTTGTGCAGCGTCTTACGCTGTGTGGCTTTGATTTATCATCCTTAAGAACATCAAGGAAGAGGCAAGCTACTCCAGGTCCCACATGGGAGACTTGACCATCCAAATCAGTTGTCTGACTCAGACATGAAGGACCCATAGCAAAGATACCAGCCTGTATGTTCCTTTATGTTTGTTTTTCACAGCCCAAAATTCTGAGGAATAGCTCTAGGCGGGGCAGCTGCTGCTCCGAGTCCCACAGTGAACCTTTAATGGGGGGCACCAGGGGACCAATGAGACCTAGCACTTGTCCCATTCACAGCCCCCTTTATGCTTCATCCAGGGGTGGGACAGGCAGAGCAAAACATCTGGAAGGCCACAAGTTGCCCAACTCTGATCTAGAACTGGACTTTCTCACAGCCACAACTGAGCATGGCTTCCCAATATGTATGCGACACAAAAAAATATATGACAGCTATGCTTCAATATCCATATGAATATACGTGCTTTTCTAATATGGATTTTTTTTCTTTTGAGAAGGAAAATGTACGAAATGGCTCCATATGAGGGAAAACAAGGGAGCTCAAAGTGTGAAAAGAGCAGAGATTTAAAAAGTATTTTCAAAAATGAGGTCTTCCAATGTATTCTGAATATTTTTGGAAATGAGTCAGCTGAGAAGCTGAAGCCGTAGGCTTTTTGGTTTACTTAACAAAGTGCCCAAACATTTCACCTCATTTCAAACATAATTCATTTTCTCTTAAAGTGAAGAGATTTACTGCCAATAAGTTTGCATTTATCCAGTAGACATGCTATAACATCACCTGTTTGTTTTTGGCTTATCAGTGACTGGAACTGAAAATGGCAAAAAATAACAAACAGATTCTTTTGTATCCATATGAAAAAAGCATGCCGCTTATTTCGAACTTTCCTTGAAGAATTACAACAAAGCAAAGCAGAGTTCATTGGCTCCAGTAATGCAATTCTCACATTTAATTAGATAGTGCCTTCTTTTGCATTGTTATCACCTACTTCTGTTGAAGGCTGAACCTACACTGGTTCTGAGTTAATAAAACCACTGCATGATAAAACATGGCTGTTAATAACAACTTGGCAAAGGGCCAGCTTTCCGAGGCCTGTTTGCACGACCTTAGAACTGAGCTATCTACCAGCTTAAATTTAGCCAAAACCAAAAACCCTTAATCCCCCCGATTAGATCTGTGAATTTAAGAGTAGAGATAAGGGAACTGAAGCAAAAGGAAGCTCCTTCCATTCTTTGCCCGCTTCCTCCTTCACCAAGTTATCTCCCATCCTCCTTCTAGCCCCTCGAAGAAATTGAACAGAAAGGCTCCTGTGAGCATCTCAGCCACAGATGCCGCTGGAAGAGTGTTCCAAGCAGAGTTGCGTCCACAGTGCAGGTCTTTCAGTCTCTGGGCAGAAGGGCTCAGCACAGCAGAGAGATTGCTCCCAGCACCAGCTGAATTATGCCTGGAGTTCTTGGGCTAAGCGGCTGGTTTTTGCCACTGCTCTGCCCCGGAACTGGCAGGTAGTGGGAGACTGTGCAGAGGACTATGGCTCAGGTGTCCGGATCAGACCGGGGTTTATGAAAGGGAGCGTAAGGAGGTGCATCATGTACATGCACTTCCGCTTGAACATGCAACCTGAAAAGTTGTTGTTGAACCTCCGGCTTGCATGCCAAACCTGGGGTTCCAGTCCAGCTCTCTGGGGTTGCACACATGGCTACCCTCCCCTTCCCCTGCCCCCAGCTGCCTCTCATTTGGTGGCTTCCCAGCTTTTGCACGTGTCTTTCCCCATTCTGAAATGTCCTTCCTAAACCTTCAAGAGGACTTATACTGGCAATAAGAACTTTAAGCTAAAATAGGCCGTTATTTGAGGTATTTTAGCCCACTCCTTCACCTCCGGCCCTGCTCGCCACTGGAAGGCGTCCTCCAAAATCTTTCCAAAATTGAACCCCTGGGCTCAACATAGTTTGACATCCCTGGAGCAGAGACTGGTGCACCAGATGACAAATGATGTATGACATGGTGGATCTGACTCTAGTCACCATGTAATTGTAAGCTGAAAAAAATTAAGGAACGTCTTAATGATGTGTTCAGAATGGACTGAGTTATTCTCATAATTGGGTTGACCCGGGAGCCATTTGCTCACCATGGCATGATCAAGCGCTAGCCAAGTTGCTAGGCCCAAATGATTAATATGATCTCCGTTTCAGAAACACTTATAACTCTAACAACCCTCTTTATGCATTTGATGTAGGGTGGAGAGGTGTCCTTGTTTACAGAGGATAGTCCTCTATTTGACATGGAGGGTATTCCTCAATCACAATGGTTTTGGTTTCTACCTCCTAGGGTATACCAGGAGAGTCATTGCGTATGACACGAAAGCGAATAAATTTGTGAAGTGTGCAGACATGAAGGACAGGCGGATGCATCACGGGGCCGCAGCAATCAATGAAAAGCTCTATGTGGCTGGAGGTCGCTGCCTCACTGCAGATAATGCCATCGAAGACTCTGATTCCCTCGAATGCTACGACCCCCAGGCAGACACTTGGACTTCAAGCGGGCAGCTGCCACACAAACTGTTTGACCACGGATGTCTTGCACTCCAGTGTGTGCCTTATGCCAACATCTTGTGAGAGGAAAAATGAGGGAAAAGGCTTTTCCAAAGCAGAAAGCCCAGACTGTGAACTACACGGAGAAATACTGGCCAACTCTAAAGATGTTTGCATGTCATCTGGTTCCCTGTTCTTTGACTACTCATGTCCCACCCCTACCATGAGGTAACATGAGATGCTTCTCTCAGGAGGTAGATTTGAAGGCTGCATAAAGGACAGCAAATGGTCTATAATTTATTACTATTATTATTCATCACTGTGAGGGGTATCTCTGAAAAGTGGTGGCTCTGTACAAAGTCACAAATAGACTTCTGGGGAACTTAGCAACCCCTTCTGGGCAACACTTTTTCTTGAGTGGTCTTCATATATAGGACATTAAATCTAAATGTTCTTGCTTTCCTGGAAGTATTCCCCCACCAACACTTAAAGCTTATGTCCTTTTTATATGATGTTTTATAAAAGCAGTAATGGATCTGAAACCAAGAGTCCCACCTCACAGCCTGGATCTTGTGCAACCATGTTTGAAGTAGAAGGAGAGACTGGCAGACTCTGTCATGGAAAGAAGGAGTACGAGAAGGAAGCCACACATGGGGCTGGCTTGGGTTATCATATGTTCCGCTGAACAAAGAAAAAGAAAGACAGAAGGCAGGAAGATGTGAAATACTAGTCAACACTGCATTTTGGGAGACGACAGGATGATAGGGTGACTAGTGCCTGCTATTACAGAGGACAGTCCACTATTTGAAAGCCTGCCAGAGGATAGAAAGGGAACTTCTGTTTAAGAGACGACTAGCCCAGGTTTGGTATAAAAATGCAGCACCATGAAAAGGAAGAGCTGGGCTTGGAAGTTGTCCATCACTACCACCCTGACAAGAGATTAAGCAAACATGCAGGTCATAGACTTCTACACTCGAGTGAGATGTAGTGTATTTCTATTTAAATTATAATAAATATTTTAAATGTGTATCTTTGCATATAAATTAGCATGTGCACATTTTATGAGATCAGCATCATCTTTTGCTCTCTTTTTTGGTTATGCGTTTTCTCTTTTGGGGTGATATTCATTCCCTTGCCCCACACTTAAGACACCTTCCCATGCAGGATTAGACAGAAAAAGGCATGCGGGAAGTTGTAGGCCTTTTTTCAATCTAAGCTTAAGCAGGACTGTGTCTTTAATCGCTTAACCTCCCATGAATCCTCTATGTTTTTAAAGATTTTCATTTTGACCTTCCTCAGGACTCTTCAGCGTATTATTATGCCTCTGTTTTTTAACTTCATGCGCAAGGATGGTTCGAAAGGCCGTGTTTTCCTTGTGCTATAATGTTTATTACTTTAATGCATTTCTCATTTCCTTTTGATTAAACAGACCTGACAAAACTATGAAATATATTGGTGGAAAGATAAATAAGTACTCCAGCTTTGCTTCACTTTCTCTCCCTCTTGCTCCCTCTGTTTTCCTGTTCTCAACTTTCAGCAGGTTCAGTGGAAAGGGGATTCTGAGCTCTGACCATTTTTGCAGAAAAGATGGAACAGAGAACTTGATTCATCTTTATTATGTGCATTAAAATCATAGCTCCATTCTCTTGGGCCTGGAATCTCTTCACTGTGAGTGCCAGAAGTATGAGTTAGAATTATGTCAAGGATTTGAACCAGGAACCTCAATAGTTAAAGTTCAGGGCCAAATAGATGCTATTTTAAATCCGTGTCTAGCAGCAACTTCTCCCCTTCCCTTCTTACTCTAGAGTAGACATGAGATTCCCAATCTGGGTCAGTACCTCAGTGCACGGCAGTAGGATGGCTTTTAAAATCTGGAATGCACTCCCTCATGCCTGCTCCAGAGTAAAAAATAACAATAAGGGTAAGCATGAAGCTGCCAGATTTAAAGTAATGTCTGTCCTGGTTTGCTTATCTAGCCTGCCATAAGCAACCATGAATGGTGGGTGCTCAGGCCTGGAACCCTCTTGAGGAGCATCATACGGGAGCACCAGATTGTCTCCTGCTACTGGCGGGTGACATGAAGCCCTTGGATCGGCCAGACCTGGTACTGCACTGGGCTCTTCTGCCTCATCTTTTCTAGCCACCAACCTCAGCACGCTACACTTCTAAGCCCCAGGACCTGCCACACAGATGCCCAGGGTTTGTCCTTCAGTGTTTCACAGGTGAAAATCTGGATATACTTGTGACATGCCAGTGCGGCACCCTGGTTCGAGTGTTGGACTGGGACTTGGGAGGTCTGGGCGTCATCCCCACTGTCTGTGAAGGTCCTGGGGTGATTTCCAGCCAGTCACTGCCTTTCAGCCTAACCGATCTCACAAGATGTTTGTGGGGATAACACAGAGAGGGAGAGGGAGATTATGCAAGGCAGTCTGGGTCCCTGGAAGGAAACACAGCAGGATATAAATATAATTAATAAATGAACGCATTTTCTTAGACCAAGAGTAGACCACTGCTTTCCAGAGTTACATCACTAAAGACTCCATTCCGCCTGTTACATTATTTATTCTTTCTGCAGTGTCCCATTTTATTGAATAGCCAAGCTGGTGCTTGGCATCGTGAACTGTTGTTAGTTCTCTTGCTTAGGTCAAGCATATATCAGAAGAAGATAACAGACAATATTCTGTGGAAGCTCTGAACAATTGCAACCCTGGCAACTCTCACTAATGACATTTAATGAAGCATCCCGAAGAGCGAGAATTAAGGGCAAAATGTGGGGACGGTGCCAGTGTGCTAGGGACAGATAGCAACAATTTCTTATTGTGCTTGGAATAATGTTTTGTCAGAGGGGATCATGGGAAATTAACGCTGCAGGTCCTGGCTGGTTTTCAAGGGGTCACATTGTAGTGATGGGTCCCCCTGCCCCACTGGGGTCCCTGCAGCTGCCCAGGGGTGCTCTGTGGTGACACCCAGCCCGGTTTAAAGCTGAATCCAGCATCTGTGCCTGACACTGGCCTTTTGCACATGCACAAACACCCTGCAATTAAACCAGGAAGCCTCTTTTTAACCACCATTACATATTGCATCTGAACATAGTTACCAGGTTCAGAATAAGCGAGAATATTAAACATGGTTTGAAGATGGCTTAATATTCTAGCTTGTCAGGAAGTGGCCTGAGAGGGCAGGCAGAAGGTGCATGCTTAACAAATGAAGATACAAGGACGTCAGAAGAGCCCTGCTGGGTCAGACCAAGGGACCACCCAGTCCAGTATTCCAGACACACAGTGGCCAAGCAGCTGCCTGCAGAAAACTTAGAAGCAGAACAGGAATGCACCGTCCTCCCACCCATCTTCCCCAGCAACTGGTGTATACAGGCCGATCGCCTCTGATACTGGAGAGGGCATATAGTTGTCAGAACTAGTGGCCACTGACAGCCTCCATCCTCCCACAATTTGCTCAGTCTCCTTTGGAAGCCATCCAGGTCGGTAGTCACCACCACACATCCTGGAAGAGAATTCCACAGGTTGACCCTGCACTGCCTCGACTTCCTTTGATCTGCCCCAAACCTCCCACCAACCAGCGTCATGGGATGACCGCGGGTTCTAGCATTACAGGAAAGGGAGAAAAGTGTCTCCCCCTTTGCTTTCTCCACTCCAGGCATAATCACATTCCTTGCTTTTTCCCCAAGCTGAATGATCTCAACTATTGTAACCTTTCTTCATCAGGCAATTCCTCAGCCCCCTTGATCCTTTTAGTAGCCCTTTCTGCACTTTTGCTCACTGCCATGGATTGTGCTAACACACCCACTATGCTGGAGAGTGAAGGAAAGTCTGCAAGGATAAAGGTGGCAGCTTTGGGGAAACCGTGGTGCTTTGGACTCCGTCAGCACAAACGCTGATGCTGAATCAGACCTTCCCTTCTCTAGCCACTTCACAGTGTGGCAAGAACAGTGGAGGAAAATACGTCTGCTTTGTGTTGTTGTGACATACATATACAGTGCCCTGAAAACACTGAAAAGCAGGGAGAGTGTCACACCATTGGGTTTGTGGATATTTCTCAACCAGGGCTCATATTCCAAAGGGCAAAGTAAACATGGCAGGATGGGCTATAACTCCTGGAAACTGTAAGAGCAGAAGCGAGGCCATGCTGTCCCTGTTTAGCTTCCAGGAAAACACACACTGCAATATCTCCCTGCTACACAAGAACTTGATCCAGGTACAGACACATATTCACAATCAAACGCTTGAATCATGTACACACACAACAGCTTCTGGTTTTTGTCCCTCTGTAACCTTCCAGTATGAGCAAAGAATAGAAGCCAGGGTGCAGCTATTGTCCAAATTATTGAACGGACATGGGTGGATTTGGTTCTCCATGGTTTCCACTTAGTTTGGTGGGATAATCTGAGAGGGATACACCCTGTGACACAGTAGGGAGGGACCCTCACAGGTCCGTTTCTGAGATGCGGTGCCCACCTCATGCAAGAGACAGGTAAAGCCACTATCCACCCCAACGGTATCCTGTCAAGAGGTGGACCACACGTGGGCCAAATGCAACTCCTGGGCCAAGTTTGTGCTCTCTGCTCCCACCACTGCCAATGTCTGCATGCATGTGCTGCAGCAGCAAAATGAAAATAAATAAAAATAAAAATGCAGCCATGCTCCTTGCAAACACGGTATGTGGAGAGCGTGCACGGTCTTTGCAAGGAGAAATTCGACCGCCACAAGTTGCTGCCAGTGTGGCAACTTTTAGCAGTAGCTGCTGCTTTGGCAGTGTTAGGGGTGGATTGCAACCACAGTTTGGTTCTGAGGGGAGGGCAATGCAGCCCACCAGCCCTGGAAGGCGTCTGTCCCCATTTTTAATGTAAAATCCTTGCACATAAATTCTTAAGGGAAAAGGAAACTCTTTCTCATGCCACAAGGCCCAGCCTCTGTGGAGAGAATATGAAGATAGTGCCACCCGAGAATAGAAACAAAATGCCTGACGTTCCCCTGAATCAGTGCAAAGTATCTCTTCCCCCACCGTTTATCTCAACTGATAGCCCATCTGCTGAATAAAAATGAGTACGCCTGCCACCAGTTGTTGCTGCACCATGTATGAAATCTCCCATGTAAACAGAGAACGGGATGATTACATAGCTGTGAAACTTAGATAAACAGAGCAAGGAGCAAACCCAAATAGTGGGGACAGTTTGCACTGCATAGGAAGAACAGAGCAAGCAGAAGAATTGGTTTTATAACGGCAAAGCTTCCTTCCATAAGGCTTCATAATGGCCAGAAGCCTCGTCCGTTTGGGGACACACATGCAAGAAACCCTGTGGCACCTTCAAGAGGCTTGAAGAACCTGCCTTATAAGAGACCATGGGCCGTAACGCATTCATCAGATGTATAGCAGTGCTATCTGCTTCAGAGACAGCCTCTCAGACACCAAATCCCTCTTTTGGCAGCCATGTGCTGTTGCATCTTAGGTCTGTGATAGAATACTAACATTACAAGGGAGCCCGAAGGTCCTCTGTTCTAAGTTTCTCTTGATGCGGGAACCCTATCAGCATAACATCACCCATGGGTGGCTATTGTCAGGGCTTCTTGATAGCAGCCGTGAGCCAAGATAACCGGGTTCAGTCAGGAAAGACCCCTTTCACCTTGAATCTCGGCAGTTTATTGAAAGATCACCCAGGACCCCTTCAGTTACTTACCACAGCATGCTGCCCGTTAGTGAGCTTCATGCCAAAATCACAGTGACAATAGAATCAGTGACAATAGAATAGAAGATTTCCCTGATTGAGCCTTATTGACAAGTCAGTTCAGTGAATTCCTGACTGTGTGGATCAGCCTCTTTGTCTGCTTAAACATGCAAATATGTCAGATTGAGGAACCATTCAGAAAGACTGGTTTGACAGCAACCTTGCCCAGGCAGTTGCCTGTGCTGAACGAGATGACTGAATGGGTGCATTCAGAAACAAATGGAACCCATTGTCTCTGCTCTCTGCAGCTGATGGGGACACTGGTATTTCCCCACTGATAGTGTTAGCCTACAGCAGCTTCTCAGTCCAGCTAAGAATTCCATCTTCTTAAAGTAAAAGCAGCACTAAACAGTAACCTGGTGTGGAATTCTGTTGCTCTCTGAAAAAGGGGCACAGGTTTGATTTTATAACACAAAGACACCTGTAAGCAACCTTTTTCTACTAGGATTTATCTGGATTTCCCCAACAGTATGCAGCCTTTGCTTTAAAACCTCTAATAAAGGAGACTCAGCCACCTTCCAAGGTAACCTGTTCCACCATCAAACTGCATGAACCATCAGAAAAGCTTTCCTGCTATTTCATCAAAATCCCCACAGTTGTCATTTGAACCCCTTGATTCAGTTCCCACCCTCCAGGACGGCCCTCCTGAGCTGGTCCTTTCTAGAGGCGTTAGATTTCCACT